TGAAAAATTAAATTTGAAATATTTTCAAAAGTATTTTTTTAGGCGGGTAGGGAGTAGGGTTGGTAGGTGTTGGGTGAGGTAAAAAAAAATCTTAAAATTTGAAATATTTTCAAAAATATTTTTTATTTTTTTGTTTGGGGGGGGGGGGTGGTTTGGTGGTAGAGATAAAAAATATATTTGAAATTTAAAAAGTAAAAAAATTTAAATATTTTATTTTATTTTATTTTTGAATGGGGAGGGTGGTCGGGTACGGTAAAAAAATAAATTAAAGGATGAAGTAGAGTTTTGGAAAATGTTTTCCTTAATTTTGGAAGGAAAGTCATTTTCCTTAAATTTGAGGAAAATGAGTTGATTTGAAAAACATTTTCCAAACTTTTTATGCCAACCAAACATGAGAAAATTGAAAAACACACCATTTAAGTGTGTCAACTTTTACTAGTATCATTAGTCTCCTCTGGTATCCTTCAACTCACGACATTTTTTTTGTTTGTTAGATATCTTGACTGCTGGTTGTATGACGGTCAAATTTAAGGAAAATGACTTCTATTTAAAAATTAAGGAAAACATTTTTCAAAACTCTACTTCATTCTTAAAGACGATAATATATCAATAATTTTATTAAATATAATATAGATAAAAGAGGTGTGCGTATATATACACCTATAATTGATTTCATAGAGGAAACTTTTGGTTAGTAGTCAATAGACTTCCAACAAAGTAATATGGTTACTGTTTTGAACTAAAAGAAATTATAAATTTACTACAATTAGATATTCATATAAAATAAATAGAAATTACAAAGAACACATAAAATAAAACAACGCAACATCATTCTTACGACCTTAACCACTGGAAAAATAAAAGAAGAAACAATACGAAATCAATGCACATTTCTATGAGTCTTTGTCCACATCCATTCGAATAAGTCGATTACCCTTCAATAACTCAAGTGCTTTTTTTTGGTTCCTTTTCTTACTATAATATAACAATAGCATATTAATTAATAGTAATTAATAGTAGCAAATGACCTTTCTTTTGGGTTGTTACTTGTTAGATAAAAACTTTTGGAATTTTAGGTGTTACTAATATAGGAAAATGGATGTTTGCTGAGTTGTGGATATTGCATGTTTAGAATTTCATTTTTATGTCACCCCATCCCTACACCGCAACCCCGCACCCACCCACCCTCAAAAAAAAATTTGTTGAAAAATTTGTTTTTGAAAATATTTCAAATTTTCATACCAAACACATCCTTAAAGAGTGTCAATTTTCAGTACTACAAGTTGTATTAGTGAAAGTAGTCAATGGAAAAAAACACTATTATTCTCCATTAATTCATAGTTCAAAGGGGATGGATGGATAAGAGGAAATTTCTCTGCTTTTCTACTTTTAGTTTGTTGACAATTCCTCCTCCAATACTTTTCTTTTTCCTTTTGCTTTGACTATTCTGAATTCATGGAAATTTTGCCATTTCTATGACATGAAAAATTGAGAAGTATCATTCACCGTATGTGGCCTTTTTCGGAGTGTTTTTAGTATAGACAAGTTAAGGTATAACTTTGTTGATTGTGAAACTGAACTAAGTTATGAAGGAACTTTTAGGTTATGAACTTCTTAAGGCATACCGTTCTGAACTTTTAGGGGTCGTTTGGTGTGATGGATAGGGAGTGTTAATCCCGGGATAAATTTTTAGTACCCTTTATTTCCTTGTTTGGTTGGAAAGCTTGGGATAACTTATCCCAGGATTAGAAATTAGTACCGGGATAAGTTATCCCTCCCATTTGGTGGTATAGTAATCCCGGGATAATTTTATCCCAGGATAGAATAGGAAAAATGACAACTATATCCCTTTAAATCCTTTGTATACATCATTTTTCTACATTTATGTATATTTTATACATTATTTTTTAATTATCATGTATACTAATATTCATTACTTCTTATTTTTAAGGATAATTATTTATATTTTTCTATTAAAAAAATTACACTATATAAATATAATTTTTATTTATGAATTTATTTGACTAATGCTTACGTTTATTTATATTTTGATTTTCCATAAATCTTCTTTCACTTTAATAAAACTTAAAGAGGGAAATTCTATTTTTAAGCTAAATAAAAAAAAGTTTTATTTTTAAATACATATGGTACTTACCATGAGAATGCATAAACAAAAATATTTAAGCTAAATAAAATAAATGTTTTATTTTTAAAAATAAATAATTAAAGTTTGCAAAGAAAATATTAAAAACTAAATAAAACGAAGGATAATTTTGTAAACAAACAATTTTTTTCTTAAAATTTATGCAATATATATTGTTTTAATACAACAAACCAAACACTCAATAAGAAATAATCTCAACACAAATTTATAGCTGCTTGCTCTAGTCAATTTTGGTCAAATTTTTGGAGTTTTTGCTGTTATTTTTTTTTTCAAGTCTTAATAGACGTTTTAATGCGGTTTTTGCTACTGATTTGGTGGATTTTTTGCTCTTGTCTGAATTCAGATTTGGTTCAATTTTGTGGTTATTTTTATGCAAATTTTGTCCAGTTTTAGCTGTTTTAGTGCAGTTTTTGCAGCTGGTTTGGTGTATTTTGGTCACTTTATTGCTGTTTTCTTGAAGCATTTTTGGAGTTTTGATCCAATATTTTTGATTATTTTGATACAGTTTTTACTTCAAATTATGATTGATTTGTTTTTAATTAATATTTTACTTATGATAGTGAAGAGGAGAGGCTTCCCACGGGCCTATTTCAATTCATATGAAATACAAATTTAAATATATTCACGTAATTTATTTTTAAAAGTGAATAAATAAAGCTCCATAAAAATACATATAAAAAGCCTAAATAAACGTAATTTATTTTTAAAAGTGAATAAATAAAGCTCCATAAAAAATACATATAAAAAGTCTAAATAAGATGAAGGGTATTTTTGTAAACAAACAACTTATCTTAAAAAGTATGTCATGCATATTAGTTTTAATACAATAAACCAAACAGTCAATAAAAAACAATCTCAGCATAACTAATCACAGCATAACTTATCCTATCCATATCCCATACCCAACCCTCCCCATCCAAAATATAAATTAAAAAAATTAAATTTTGTTATTTTTTAAATTTCAAGAAATGGAGGTTTCCAAGGTGTGGAGGAATGGTACCATGAAGTTGCATACTAGAAATGTCAAAAGCTGTGACTCGATGGTGTCGGGAGCTGCAAGTGATTCCAATCCAGGTGCAAACAGGGGTGGAAGAAGACCAGTTGGTTGCTAAGATGTTGTTAGGACTAAAAGAAATGTGAGATTTGAAGGCAAGAAGAGCAGCTTCATCAGTACTAATATTTGGAACAGTAGAGAATGAAGTATGGAGCAGAATGAAAACCACAAGTGCAAAGAGAAGATTGCAACTTCTTCCCATAACTAATAGCAGATTGATATCTCTCTTTTTACTAAAACAAGAATTGATCGATGAGGCAAATAAATGATCTTAGATGATTTATTTAATGATATCAAATTAGTCTATGGAGTATGTTTTGGTTTAGAGTGTCAATATCGAGTTAGTTCGGCAAGTTCTTTTAGTGAAGAATAGATTATGGCATTAGTGATTAACAATACAGGGAAAATGTCTTTTGTCTTGAATGAAATGTGCAAGAAACTTCAACCTCAAATTTAAGTCTTGGTCTTTCTGATAAGTACTTGTGGCCTTGCATTTTGAGTACTGCCATTAGTTTTTGGAGTATATTTTGGGTTAAGACTTGAAGAGTCTCAACAAGAGCCAAGTGAGAAGAAACTAAAGGAGTATTTGATTACATAAACTCTTGGCGCATTAGTCAACATGAATAGTTTTGATAAAGAAGTATGTTTTGTGTTTTGCCTAATCTTCTTCTTTTTTACCAAAGGAAATCCATTGACTTTGTAAAAGGGGACGAATATATGAACGAAGAAATAATTTGTGAAGAAAAAACTAAATTTGCTAGATAAGTCAATAGTGGCAACTTGTAAGAACAAGAAAATATTTTTCAAAAAAAGAAAGTGAAAGAAGAAATTCCGAGAGAAAAAAAGTTTGGTTCATCCATGCCATCATTTTTAACTCTGGTTTTCCAAATCAATTTTTACCTTAACAAGATTCGAAACAACTTTTAGTACTTTACAATTGGAGTTTTTGATTAAATGTTACGTTTTTTGTTTCTTCTTCCTCAAGAACAACAATAGCACATAAAGAACATCAAGAGCTCTCAAATTTCTTACTTCTTCAATTCTTCACGAAATCACCTCAAATTTCTGCCACGTCATTAAAAATATAGAAAAAAAACAAAATTCTAAAATCATTTGTAGAGTTAAAAAATACACCCGTATTAAAAATATATATATTCCAAGAAAAACTGAAATCAGTCCAAAATTTCAAAAATCTTCTTTGATTTGTGTTTTTGTTGTTGTTTTTGACTCTAGATCTTTGTTCCTTAGTGTTTTTTGAGTCTATGTTCAAAATTTCAAGTAATTTGGAGTTGTGGAGAAATTTTACTTGAAGTTTTGAAACTTTAAAGAAATTTCAAGTGGATCTTGTTGAGTTAGGTTTAATTCGAGCTCAAAAGATATTAAGTTTTGGTATCTAGCTCGGAAGGAGGCTACTTTTGAAATTTGAGTTAGTGTTTGTTGTTTTGTTGACTTTAAAAATGGTTTTGCAAAACTGAAATTAAAAAATGGAAAAAGGCCTAAAATACCCTTCAACTATGCGAATTGGTACAAAATTATCCTTCTTCTACTTTTCGGGCCTAAAATGTCCTTGACATCAACCTTTTGGCTTTATTCTGCCCTCATCTTTAATGGACTAAATCATAACATCAATTAACAAATTCATTAATGATGTGTCACTATCCTATTGGTTACCCTAACAATTAATTAAAAAGACCGCCCCACCCAAAAGCCCCACTAGCTGTAAAAATCCCCAAATCTTTTAACCAACCCTTGAGTACTGGCATCTTGCTAACCGGATGGGTTTGGTTAAAAGATTTGGAGATTTTTACGGGTGGGATTTATACATAAACAACAGTTGGTAAAAGCTATTCCCTATGTTCCTATTTATATGTCGTCCTTACTAAAAATATATAGATGGTTCTTAATATTTGTCATTTCACAAAATCAATGCATAAATGACACTATTCTTCCTATTTTACCCTTGAGAGTTACTAGTGTTGAAAGTATGAATTTGACCAATATAGAAGACTAAACAGCTAATACATGTTCATTGATCAATTTAATTAATCAAAATAAATTAATTTATATTCATTTATTGAAAACTTGACTTCAAGAGATCAAATATAGGCCAATTTGTCAAAAAGACGTCGTTCAAGGTTTTGCAATTGTTAGCTTCCGCATGATGTCTTGTTATTTCGATCCCAACATAACTTAATTAGTAAATCAACTAATGTATGAATTGACTTTTAGGTTTTAGAGAAAATTGATGAAACAAATGTCAAGTTGCTTGTTTACAATTAATATCATATCCCTACAAGTCCTGATCATAGGTGAACCAATATAATGTATAGTTACACACCTGCAAAGGTAGGTATCAATCACTGAAGCCAATTAAGACCTCATGGGTCCAGTTAGCTAACATGTCATGAATATTTTCTCCATTTGTTAGCTTAGAATACTTGTTTACCTAAGTGTCATGGAGAAAGCCTGTATTCATCTTGCTGTTGTACTTCTGCTTCTTCAGCAAATGAGTACTTGTTTGTCAATCGTTAATATCACGACTGATCAAACAGCACTTCTTGTCTTGCAATCTCAAATATCTTTATACAATCCTCATAGTGTTTTAGCAAGAAACTGGTCTACTTCCACCCCGGTCTGTAGTTGGATTGGAGTTACTTGTAGCCTTCGCCACCAAAGAATCACTGCCTTAAATCTTTCTAGTATGAACCTTAAAGGAATGGTTCCGCCACAGCTTGGAAATCTCTCGTTTCTCATTTCTCTCGATATCAGAAACAATAACTTCCATGGGACTTTGCCTGAGGAGTTAGCTCATTTGAGGAGATTGAAAATGATCAATGCAATGAACAACAACTTTACTGGTGCAATCCCCTCATTTTTCGGCCTGTTACCAAATCTTCATTCCTTGTACCTTTCGTTTAACCAATTTGCTGGTAATATCCCTCTGTCTCTTTTTAACATAACAAAGCTAAAGTACTTAAGACTTCGAGGGAATTTTCTTGGTGGAGAAATTCCTCAAGAAATCAGTAGCCTTTGTTGCCTGAATTTAATAGACCTGCAAGATAATAAGCTTACAGGCTCTATACCACCAACTATATTTAACCAGTCATCGCTCAAACAGATTGGCCTGACAAAAAACATTCTTTATGGGAAATTACCGAGAAATATATGTGACAATCTTCCAAATTTAGAGGTACTTGGTCTTTCAAGTAATCGGTTTGATGACTTGATTCCTCCAAATCTGCAGAACTGCTCTAAACTTCAAATACTATCATTGTCTGTAAATGATTTCTCTGGAACCATACCAGCAAGTATTTTATAAAGCATATATTTTTCTCCAAGCATCGGAAATCGGATTCAGCAATTTAGTAACTTGTGTGTTATTTCCTAATTTGACAGGTGAAATACCAAGGGAGCTTGGATATCTTCAAAGACTCCAACTATTTGGATTGTATCAAAACAGGCTGAGTTTGTTCAATTCCAGCAAGCCTTTTCAACATTTCAACCCTCCAAATCTTGACAATTGTGGATTGTCAGTTATCGGGGAGTCTACCGTCAAATGTAGGGCAAGGGACACCAAATCTCAAGGAAATTTATTTAGGAATAAATAATCTCACTGGAGTCTTCCCTGCTTTTATTTCCAATGCGTCAAGACTCACTGTTCTAGACCTTTCTAACAACATCCTCTCCGGTTCCATTCCTGATTCCCTTGGTAATTTGGAATTCCTTGTAGTTCTACAGATAGGCCTTAACAAGTTGATCTATCAGAATCCCTCTTCACAATTAACTTTCCTGACTTCACTGACAAGATGTCGAAATCTAAGAGAACTGGTCATTGCACGAAATCCCTTAAACGACATTCTTCCAGTTTCTATTGGTAATTTCTCAAGCTCTCTCCAAATCTTTTCTGCACCAGGGTGCAAACTCAGAGGCATTATCCCAGAAGAAATTGGAAACCTAACAAATGTGTTATGGATATCACTATTTGCCAATGACTTGACAGGATTCATCCCGAAAACTGTTAGGGGTTTGCAGAAGCTTCAAAGGATTCTTATACAGAGTAACATGATAAGTGGGACTATACCAGATGAAATTTGCTACTTGCAGAATCTAGGAGACCTGATTGTAGGGAGAAATAAAATTTCAGGTCCCTTGCCATCCTGTTTGGGGAATGTTACTACTTTGAGAAATCTATATCTAGCCTCAAAACAAGTTGAACTCCAGCTTACCTGAGACCCTATGGAACCTTCAAGATCTATTGGAACTTGATGCAGCATCAAATTCATTTTCTGGTGTTCTATCTCCCCAAATAGGAAACCTGAAGAATGTCATAGACATTGATTTGTCGTACAATGACTTTTCAGGCATGATCCCTACCACTATGGGAAGTCTACAGAAGTTAATTACTTTATCTCTATCAGACAACAGAATAGATGGCCCCATTCCAGAGTCTTTTGGGAAAATGTTAAGCTTGGAATTCTTGGATTTGAGTTATAACAATCTGACTGGCGGAATACCAAAGTCCTTAGAAGCTCTTGAGTACCTCAAATACCTTAATGTTTCCTTCAATAAACTCAGCGGAGAAATTCCAATTGGTGGACCTTTTGCAAACTTCACCAATCAGTCATTTCTGTCTAATAATGCATTATGTGGTATATCAAGGTTCCAAGTGCCTCCTTGCCAAGGCAAATCTCATCGGAGGACGAGTAGAAAAAGAGTGCTTTACTTGTTTCTGTATAGTCTTTTGGGAATAACATCTGTAATTGTTGCATCAGCTATTGGATTTCTGATTTTAAAAAGAAGAAAAAGAAATGAACCATTGGGATCAACTGAAGTATCATCCATGAGGGTCCATGAAAGAGTCTCCTATTATGAACTTCAACAAGCAACAAATGGATTCAGTGAGGACAATTTGCTTGGTACTGGGAGTTTTAGCAAGGTGTACAAAGGGGTAAAGGATGGGATGATATTCGCAGTAAAGGTATTCAAACTGGAACTTGAAGGTGCATTCAAGAGCTTCGATGCAGAATGTGAGATCTTACGCAACCTTCGCCATCGGAACCTGACAAAAGTCATAACTTCTTGTTCCACCCCCAACTTCAAGGCCTTAGTATTAGAATACATGCCAAATGGCACCCTTGACAAATGGTTACACTCTCATGACTTATTCTTAGACATGTTGCAGAGGTTGGACATAATGATCGATGTAGCATCTGCTTTAAACTATCTCCATAACGGTTATTCAGAGCCAGTGGTGCATTGTGATTTGAAGCCTAGCAACATTTTGCTAGATGAAAACATGGTTGCCCATTTAAGTGATTTTGGGATTGCAAAACTGTTAGGTGCAGAAGATAGTTTTAGACAAACTAAGACTATTGGAACCATTGGATACATCGCGCCAGGTACATTAAACTTCTTCTCTTGCCTTTATCTTTCTTGCATAATGATTCATCTGTCAAACTAGTATGAAATACTTTGAACTGATGATTTCTCACGTATCATTGTAGAGTATGGGCAAGATGGACTTGTATCAACAAGTTGCGACGTGTATAGCTTTGGCATTGTGATGATGGAAGCATTCATAAGGAGGAGGCCTAGTGATGAAATGTTTACGGGGGATTTGAGCCTAAAACATTGGGTAAACGACTCACTTCCTACCGGAGTTGCACAAATTGTTGATGCAGATTTGATAAGGCAAAAGGAAGAACCTCTAAATGCAAAGATGCAATGCTTTATTTCTGTCATGGAATTGGCTTTAAGCTGCACTTCAGTGTCACGAGACGCTAGAGTCAACGTGAAAGAAGCTCTTTTGGGACTCAAGAAGATACGACTTCAATTGGTCACAAGCTAAAAATTGAAGTGTGTATTTTAAGCCAGAAAGTTCACTCTTTGTAATGTCTAATAGGCCTGTTTTGTTTATTTGTTAACTAGTCGCCTTTATACTTCCATCATAGGCAAATTGTTTTCCTAAACTTGTTTTTCCTCTATTGGACAAGTTCATTATCTCCAAAAGCAGGACTCGAGAAAGTTATGATGAAAGAAGCATGCAGTATACAGATTGTAAAATGGTAATCTAACTCCAGTAATTAGCAGAACATTTGACAGGTAATTACTGATAATTTTCATTGAAAAATAAAGCAGTTGTTTGTCAAAAGCATTGCATCATGTCATCTTCAAGTTATCATCGCTAGCCTTGTGTAATATTGATACTTTTCTTGTCACTGTTGATATACACTGCAGCCTTGAATATCTAAAAGCATATCCAGCAACAGAAACTTACTTTAAGGTACACCAAATTATTCTTTCCTGCTAATTAATGCATAGGCCACAATGACAATAACAATAACGCGATTATTTTCTGAAGCATACATTAGGGGAAACGAAAGAAATTGCATAACGCGATATACTTTAACAGGCATAATTTAACTTGAAATCAACTCTGTACAAAGAAGAACATCCTTTCATTGGCCTAATCCATGGCATTAGGACCAAAGCATCTTCTCCTGAGAGGATTCCAGACCCATTGAACAAGAAACTTTCTCCCTTTCACACCATGTAAATTGAAACCATTCCCCCAAAAATCCTTATAAACTTGTCCAACATATCCACCACCAGCACCAGTCCCATAAACTCCCAAACACAAATCAGCAATCTCAGTAGGTGAAATAGGATTATCCCCAGCATACCAAGCATTCACAAGAGGGTTACTAGAGACCTCAGCTAGCTCATGAGCTATCACACTGATCATTCCATCGACTCCCGGATCACCATTTGGCGCCCCCATTAAGTTGTTTCCTCCATTTCTTGTGTTTGGTGGTGGCTTCCCTGAATTCTTAGGCCAAGCAAAAGGATAAGCACAAAAACCAGGACATTGTTTTCCACTATAACCAACCCAAGCATAAGGGACTGTCACTCCAAGAATTGATGGAAATGTAAAGTAATGAAAACCACATACAGCCCTACAAAATTCTTGAACTTGAACATCATAAGATGTTAACACTAAGTAAACTCCATTCTTATAATTCAACGGTATAGATACACGGTATGATCTTACTGCATTCTTGATCACATATTGCATTGATAATCTGCTAAGGTACTTCCCTTGTGAGTACTTAAAGTCAAAGAATTCACCAGAAAGTGAAATAGTTGAGATGTTTTGGCCAGTTTGATCTGTGTAAAGACGAACGGTTCGCCACCAATCAGCTACAGAAGGATGAGGTGCATAAGAAGATGAAAAGGAGTTGAGAAAGTCTCTAATTGTGGCTTGATGAGAAGGGTTCCAATGGCCATACCATATTACATAAAGTTTTATAGGAGAAGAAAGAACAGGTCCCATATGGTATTCAAGATTAACAAGATCAGAGGAGCCTTCATAGTTCTTGTTTTCATTATATGGAATCCAAGAAAAGGCAACAAGTGAAAAGCAAGAGGAAGATAGAAGCAACAAGAAATGGATATAATGAAAAAAATGAAACTTATTTTCCATTTCTCTTGGTTTGTTTCTCAGTATAGAGATAAAGGGGGTCTCTTTATATAGAGGGAATTAGAATATATGTTGGATTCTTCAAATTACTTTAATATTCTTTCTTTGGAAGGAGACAATGAAAAAATTGAAAAGCATGTTGACATTATTCATTTGTCGTAGGCATACTACATAAATATGTCCTTTAATTTGGCCTAAGCTGACATCTATGTCCTCCAACTTTATAGGACGTTACGTAGGATGTCGTGTAGGACGTGAATTGACACGTAGGACGTCAAGTAGAACGCATATGTCTACTTGTTCAACTCTATACAAGTTTAAGTGTCTATTTGTACACTCTCAAAGTTGGAGGGCATAGATACCTGATGAGGCCAAATTAAAGGGCACGTTTATGTATTACGCCTTTGTTGTATCATTGATTACTTTTAGTTCAATGATGGTCATGCATGTTACTACCTCTTTTTCTTTATTCCATCTATAATGACTAAAGAAATAGTAGTTGGACCCTGTCTGTTTAATTAACCAACCTTCTAATGTATTTTGTGCCAGTATTTATACCAATTCTGGTAAAACATTGGGATCTGTTAAAGAACATTTGTTTACAATTTACTCAAAAGTGGTCTACCACTGACTCCCTTCACCAACCCTTCATCTGGTATTCAAAATCAACTGGCTCGACTAATTTATATTAGTGTCCCATAGAGTTTGTTAAAGGGGCTAGAGTTCCTTACATAAGATTTCTCCATTCCCAAGCTCGAATCCTCGACATCTTAATTGTTAAAAACTCTACAGACTACAAATTCATTGATTGTATACAAATTTCACATAGATTTACACGGTTTCTAGACTACTCCACATGTTACCTTAATATCTCGAATTAAATCCTCATATTTTTTTCATATATTATCATGACTAACTTTAAACTTGTTTTAAGAATCGTTCCTTTTTATCTATTATATGGCTCATATATCTCTCTTTCAACTTAACCTATCGAGTCATACTTCTTCATAAAGAAAATGACTTTTTGAAATAATAACTATTAATTGAGTGATTATCTGAGAAATTAACTATAATCTTTCTTTTTCAATCAATAAAGGGCTACTCCATATTTTCTACTAAAACATAAACCAAAATTTTGAGTAAAAATCAATTTAATGTGTAAAAATAAAACAAAATGATGAATGTCACTGTGTTAAAGCAAGCATGTGATGCCCTTTTTCTTTTTCATTTTGCCTTATTTATATATAGTCATTATTTCTTTGTCAACATCTTTGACAATTTGTTTCCCCCATCCTAGGAGAAATGTCATCTTCACACTTGAATCATGGGGTAACATGCATTAATTAATTATATTGCTCACATATTTCTATTTTCTACCGAGGCAATTGTCAATTAGTATTAAAGATTAAATCACCATTTTCACTTAATTTTTCCCTAATTTTGACCATCTATCACTAATCCAAAAAAGTTGAACTTTTCACTTTGGAGAACAATCATAACCTTCAATTGTTTATTGCATAAAAGCTCTTAAACTAGCGGCAGAGTCTCAGAGTGTTAAATAAAAGTAATGTCTATATAATAGATATTAAATTCTTTTCGACTTTTTCTGTCTGTTTTTTATATTTTAAATGTTTTAATAAAAATTCTAACTCTGTTATTGTTTTCGTCCTCCAAGAGATTATTACAAAGAATATTAGAGGTATGTATTCAAACTAAATCATGTGAACACTTTTGTGTATACTTTTTTGATGATCTTTTAATTTATTTATTTGTGACAATAAAAGATAACTTTTGTAACGACTTTTTACTTTCTATGATGACTTTAAACATCGAAAAAAAATCCCTTTTTTATGATGAGTGAAAAGATGATCATTCAAGGAATGAATTTACAAAAGGGAGTTTTTTGTATTAATAATAAATAAATAATAATGATATACTGCAAATATAGAGTTAAGTAGTATGCGCCGTAAATAATTCTGACATTATTAAGTTAATTGTAATTATAGATGGCTGCCATTTAATACGCAAAGAGTAGTAACCAATACTACTAAATAACCTATTATAACAGATGTTAATTTACATTGATGGCATAAACAATCGTTATAATATCGGTGCATAAAATTTAAACACATAAAATATTTATAAATCGAAGGAAAGTACTAATAATTTGACGATTAAACCATTTTTGTTTTCTTCTATCGGGATATAATCCTAAAATTATAAGAATGCCACGAATTAACATCATGAATAAAATAAGAACAATTAACAGTACACGTACACCAATAGTTATAGCAAGGTATCTATAATAAAGCATGCCATGAATTTTATGTCACAAAAATCATAAAATTATAAGAATGTGAAGCAATTAATTAACATCGTGAATAAAATAAGAACAATTAATATTACACATACAATATATCCGGTGAAATCTACTAAGTTGAGTTTGAAAAATGTAGAGTATACGCAGACCTTACCACTATCTCATGGAGATAGAATAGTTATTTTCGATAGATCATCGTCTCAAGTGCATTAAAATCAAGTAAAAGAAGAAAAAAACAATGAAGAAAGCATAACCATTAATAAGAACACCAGTGTAAAGTCTACGAAACAGAAATAACAACAACAACAAAATAGTGTGATAATTGAAAACACAATAAATAACATATGATAAGAACTATACAAAGATACGACTAATACTACAATATGCGCACTAACGAGCCTGAATAATCTTTGCAAGACAAAGACAATTTTCCACCCCTCCTAAAGCATCCCATGATTTATGTCACAAATCACAATCAGAGAAGAAAAAATGATGTTACTATTTAATTTAACATTAGGAATCCATATAGCTTTTTGGCTAAAATATTTACTAACATTTCTATCAAAAAATATATAAAATAATCAAGAATCTTAGGGTAGTGTAGATAGGATAGTCAATTAGTAATATTAATCTAAGGAATCAATGTATTCTTTATTCACAAATCAATACCTAAATTGGCCGACATGTTTAATAATTACTTTACCATTTTAACTCGTACAATGTATGTACTCGAACATAAAATTTTCAAAGTTCACATGCAAAGTTTTGTTATATTATGATTAATATAACAAAAAAATTTAAGTAGTTGATAAAAGATTTTGTGATATAACTAACTTATTACTACTATAAATAATATAAAGACAAACTTAACTTCAAATATTTATGTCAAAAGCGTGTATGACTGAAGTTCAGATATCTAATTTTTTTTCTTTTTTATAATTCTACAATTTTATGCAAAAATATTGAAAGTTCGTGTTATCAAACTTCATATGCGAATTTTGGCAACTTCAATTTATATACTGCACTTCGCCCAGCCCAACCCAAAAGAATATCACACATCTAAGAAGCTAAAAGCTAGATATGTTTTGATCTTGGGATATGGAAAAACGCATCTAAGCGCGCTATTTTGATATTAATAATTACATATCTAAATTATACGATAATTTTTATCACTTGAGTTATTTCATATCTTTCATGTATATTAGATACAAAGAACATTTTAAATTATAATTGAAAAATTCATATTTTATTAAAGTACATTCTATAGATAGTCAAATGAAAATTTAACTACACATAAAGAGATTGAGGTTTGATGTGTGATGAGGTCCGGTTGGCTAAATTGTACTCCTCAACATAAAAGAAATAAAAAAGTCTCGACTCTCCAGAAATAAGTGTTAATCTGGTTGTAGTTTTTTTATCTCTAATTTGTAAAAATATATTATAAACAAAAAATAAATTTATAAAAAATTAAATTAATTAATCCCAAAATTATGTGACTATCAAGAAACTAATTTCTCTGGCAAAAATATTGAGCAACTTTCACATATAGCAAATATAAAAATCATATTTTGTATGTTATAGCTATAGTTTGCATAATTGCGCTTTATAACTAAATTTTATGTTTGTTATGGAGCTTTCGATTTGTATAATTTGCTACAAACATCTAATTTTATACAAATTGTTTAGTTTTGTCTAAATTCATTTATACATTGTAATTTATATAATAAGATCTGTATTTATATAATTATAAGTCTATAAGACGAAAATATATGTATTTGTATTTCTATATACACTTTTTTTCTCACTTTATACAAACAAAAACACATTTTATACCGAAATGCATAAAATGACTAATTGTATACCGAAAATGGCTAATTGTATACCGAATCAGATGGCCAAAAAAAGGATGTTTGTTGTGAATTATAAATTAAAATAAACTATGGTTATAAAATTTAATTTGAATTAATAGTTTGTTATTTGATACAATTTTTCCTATAAAAATTCCAAACTATCGTGAATCATAGTAATTATAACCTAAACTAGTGGAATTTATGTAATTTGCCCAAAATAGATTGTGTATAACATTTTATTTGAATTAATAGCTTGTTATTTCATACAATTTTTCCAAAAATATATTACTTTAGTCAAAGCCATGTCAAAACAATATTATTAAATAGACGGAGTATAAGGGTATAGTTACAAAAACATAATACTAATTTTGTGTTGAATTTATAAGGTGACACTTATCATGCATGTTTTGATTATTACTTAAATCTTAGTATATCATATCGTTTAAATCTATCATTAGGTAACGACAGAAAGTCTCATATGTGTGACATTATATAATACAAAGAACGATACAATCTATTAGGATATTGTATTCATTAAAACAAGACATGTTATACCTACAAATTACAATACAATACAACACATTATGAAACAATACGTAACAATCATCCAAACAACCAAGAGATGTTTTACCTGCAATGTGTGACTTTTCAACACGAATCCAGGTATAATCAAGCTCCAATGTGGCTATGAGACGCCCGTGGAAAAAATAAATAAATCCAAACAGAGTGTATCTATGTCGCCCTGTTGTGTCCTCGATTTTTGGCGCATGCTCAGCGCGAAGCGAACGTTGCAACATCTAATTTGCGCTATTGAAATTTGAATCTGTTGTTCCAACAATCTCTCAAAGTAAAGCAATTTTCATGATTTCCTTTACATTTCATCGTCTCTACAGACTTCACCATTTTACAGCTTCTACCACACTCCTTAATGGCCTCCTTTTCTCCCATCCTTACCATTTCTTCAACTTTAATAGTAACCCCTTTTGGCGCTATACCCAATTCAATTCTTTTACAACAAACCCATTGTCTTCTGATTTTGATTCAGTTGTCAAAAGGGTCTGTTCTTTAGTATCTGAATCATATTGTAAAGTTCAAGAAAATACCCATTTCAAATCTAGACATCCCAAGTTGAAATTGCCTATAGATTCTGAGTATTTGACTCAAGAACAGGCTATAACTGTTGTTGCTTCTCTTGCAGATGAGGGAGGGTCCATGCTGGCATTGAGTTTCTTTTATTGGGCAATTGGGTATGTGAAATTCAGGCATTTTATGAGGCTTTATATTGTTTTAGCTATTTATTTGATTAAAAATGGAAACTTTGAGAGAACCCATGAAGTGATGCATTTTATGTTGAGGAATTTTTGTGAAGTTGGTATGTTAAAGGAGGCTGTAGATATGGTTTTTGAGATGCAAAATCAAGGTTTGGTTTTGAATGCTGGGAGTTTGAATTCTGTTGTTAGTGTTGCTACTGAGATGGGGCATGTTGAGATGGCAGAGAAGGTGTTTGGTGAAATGTGTGACAGAGGGGTGTGTCCTGATTCGTTTTGTTTCGAGTCTATGGTTGTTGCTTATTGTAGGATGGGAAGAGTTGTAGAGGCTGATAGGTGGCTGAGTGCAATGCTAGAAAGGGGGTTTCTTGTTGATAATGCGACTTGCACTTTAATAATGAGTGTTTTCTGTGATAAGGGGTCTGTTAATAGAGTGTTGTGGATTTTTAATAAACTGATTGAATTGGGGTTGGCTCCAAATGTTATCAATTATACGTGTTTGATAAATGGATTGTGTAAGAAAGGCATTATTAAGCATGCGTTCGAGTTGTTAGAGGAAATGGTTAGAAAAGGTTTGAAACCAAATGTTTTCACTCATACTGTATTGATTGATGGTCTTTGTAAGAAAGGCTGGATGGATAAGGCTTTTAGACTATTCTTAAAACTTGTGAAGAGTGACAATTACAAGCCTAATGTGCATACATATACAGCCATGATAGCTGGATACTGCAAACAGGAAAAATTGAATCGAGCAGAGATGCTTCTGAGCAGAATGCAAGAACAAGAGTTGGTCCCTAATGCCAACACCTACACTGCTCTCATTGATGGGTACTGTAAAGTAGGAAACTTTGATGTTGCGTATAAATTATTGCGTGTGATGGATGAAAAAGGCTTGGCGCCAAGCATTTTTACGTATAACGCGGTCATTGATGGCCTGTGTAAAAAGGGAAGGGTTCAGGAGGCTTATCAGATGCTGAAGAAAGGTATGCAAATTGAAATTTCGCCAGATTTAGTGACTTACACCATTCTAATGTCTCAGAGCTGCAAACTAGGAGATAATGGACAAGCTTTTGCTCTTTTCAGCAAGATGGTTAAAGCTGGTATCAGCCCTGATATGCATACATACACCACATTAATTGCTGCCTTGTGTAGGCAAAAGAAAATGAAAGACAGTGAAAAGCTCTTTGATGATGCTGTAATTTTAGGTTTGATACCTACCAAAGAGACTTGTACTTCCATGATTTGTGGATATTGTAGAGATAAAAATGTGGCCATGGCCAAGAAGTACTTCCAGAGGATGGGAGAATATGGTTGTGTACCTGATAGCCTCACTTATGGTGCTTTGATTAGTGGGCTTTGTAAGGAGTCAAAGTTGGATGAGGCTAGAGACCTTTACAATTCAATGGTTGATAAAGGTATTCCCCCATGTGAAGTTACACGGCTGACTGTAGCTTATGAGTATTGCAAGAACAATGAACCAACCATCGCGATGGGCCTCTTAGATAGATTAGAAAAAAAACTTTGGATTCGAACTGTATCTACCCTAGTCAGGAAGCTTTGCAGTGAAAAGAATGTGGATGTAGCTGCTCTATTTTTCCATAAACTGCTAGACAAACAGCAGAGTGTGGATCGAGTAACCCTTGCAGCGTTTATGTCGGCGTGCTATGAAAGCAATAACTATGACCTTGTCTCCAGTATGAATGAGAGGATAACAAAAGATTTTGGTAAGACCCGTATGCTTTTTATTTCACTTGTTTTGCTGTCCATATTCTTGGGGTGCCTTGCTTTATGTGGGTGCCAAATTACTTGCACTCTTTGCGTTAGTATTGCAATTATTTTGGCCCCTTTTCATGCTAAAACTTTTTATTTTGAATTGATTTTGTTTATATTCAGCATATTAATTGTGATTTTCACTTACCCAGGAGAATCTACGGTAGAGTGACCTTGTGATTTACTGTACAACAACCAAAAGGCTATTTGGCAGGTGTGCAAGTAGCAAGTTAAAATGATTGCTTTATCCTCTTTAAGGTTAGAATCTCTCTGTAATTCCCATAAATGAGGATCAATTTTCTGCACTAATCTATGTCAGATTAGATTTAATCAACACAACAGCAAGAATTTAGAGAGCCTATAATGAAAAGATCCTTCCACCATCCATCATGTGGTATCATTTTAGTTCCTTGATTCTTCTAGTTACCATTTCTATCTTTTAAATTGCGTGTTTCTTGAATAATGGTTCTCCTAAGCTATTGTGATAGAAAAGGTACTGGTAGCATTCTTTTGCTAATTGTTGTAAGGCTTCAAATGTTTTTGTTTCTTATGGGAATTTCAGAACACTACTTAGTGGAATCATCTTTTCAACGGAAACCTAAAAGAAAACTAAAATTATGCTCTACTCATCTTCCGTCCAATTTGATAATCTAACTTCATTGTCGCAATGTTTTTGAGAAACAGATTTTTTGAACATATTGTTATTTTTCAGTTGCGTGAATATATGTAGTAATAATTAGAGTTCACCTGGGAAAATGTCAAATGAAAATTCGAATTAATATAGTTAAAGTAGTTTGTTATTTTTTTATACAATATGAGTTCTTCTATTGTGATTTTATAGCTATATAAACTTATTATTCATTTAGGTTTTCCATATGCTATCTTTAGTTCGTAAAAATGAAAAATTCAACTTGAATATTGGGCGGTTGACTCTCCTACTTCACGTCACATCATTCATTCGGACAGAGGGATATTAGTCTATATCAGCTTGACTTTATGGAGATTTGGTGTTGAGTCATTGACAGAATGATGTCAAGTAATTTGGGACTAACTGATTTAGAAAGGATGCCAAGTCATTTTGGTGGAGGGAGCAAAAGAAATCTTATTTTTGAGCAAGTTTGTGCTGTTCAGTGTTCACTCTAATTGAGCATGCTTATGAAAAGAAATACAGGAGAAACCATTTTCACCTTTTTAATATGACATTGGGATTTAACCTTACCTATCTCCGCTTTTACTTTGGCATTTCAAACACTTATTTTTTTTTATCTTCAGTACATGTAATTCAGCAATGCTGATATTTGCAGACAGAGCATTAAAGCTGTCCCCTCACACTACTTCTTGATTTGGGTAATGCCAAAAGTAAGAAGCAAGCGCTGGGTTAATTTACTGATTTGAACAGAAGCGTGTAGCTTTCTCAAAAGTCTATATTGTTTGGGCTAGGTGGAAACTAGCTGCCTGTGGAATGGTGACCTCTACTCTTCCTTCTTATGCATTGTCATGTTAATATTTTAGTTATTCTAATGTAGATTGTAGAGGACCCTCTTCTGCAGTGTACACTGTTGGATATAATGTTGTTTCCCTTAAATCGATTTGATGTTCCTGAAATCGTGATTTTGGTTTTTTCAAGAAAAAGCCATAGTTAGTTAGGTTAAATTATGTTTTTCTCTTATCAGTAGTAATATTTCATTAAAATGAGGGAAGCACTAAGATGGTGCTAAATATTTACAGCTACACACTAGAACAGTTCCTTGGAAAAACCAAAAACACTAAGACAATGTGAGCAGTATGATAAGATGTGAAAACACTGGATCAGATCTGAAAGCAATATGTGGAACTATCTTTGCCAAGCTTACACTCGGTTTTTCATTTAGAGTGTTGGTGCCAGGACGTGTACCGTTCTGTTTCACCTTTGCCTAGTTTGAACTTGACAGACTTACAATTGAAATGGCTTGATGCAGTGCCTGCTAAGTTTTTAGGTCAATGTGAAGAGAAATGAAGAAGTAAAATCAGTTGATAAAAAATAAATTAGTCTTAATACTGAATACTCCAACTTGTATTGTAAACAATAAAATGTAGAAAAGTGGGACATACCATGCTGCTGCAATTTTGCCCAACTGGATTGTGCTTAAAGAAATGAAACCGAGCTCCAACAGTCCTAATCTGATTTGTCATGTCTATTTGTTTTTTATCTTGTAGATCTTGCGTTGACGCAAATGGCCAAGCTGAGGAAGATTCTTTTCCAGGGCAAGTTGTTGAATGGAATTCTTTACAGCAATGACGTGCTTGAAAGAGAAGTTCTTACAAACCTCCCTTGATATTAAAAGGAAGTTGACAATTACAGAAATGTTCACAGTAGGAAAATCAGGTATCTTTCTTTTCCTTTAATATTCACACAATCATTGTTCAGACAAGATTGGGAGATGAGGACAAAAGTTGTCAAAAAACTATTATACAGCGGGAGAGATTGATTAGGGTACAGTTATTTGACAGCAAATAGCAATCACCTTAGTACTTCCCTTCTTTTTAACGTACGAAGATGTTGGCTAGCTCACTATGCAGCTGTCAAGTCATATGTAATGGAAGGAGATTCAGGACCATATAGCTGCTTGTACAGATTGTGGTTTTGGTTTCTCGTCATTTAGATTTTGATGCATAAACCTCTTCCGCAAGATCATGGTTAGAGAAAGTCCTCTGGTGTCGTCATTGTAGATTCTTGACATTGGACATTACCAAGGATTTCCACATTTTTGTTGACAGAGGTGGTGTGCATTGCAGGCTACACCAAACTGCCACAGCATGTTCAAGCTATTTAGGTATCATGGATCTCAATCTTTACCTCCATTTCTTAACTGACACTCCAATCTTAAGTTCTTTCTCCGACTCTCACCGAGTTTGTGAACAAGCATTTTACCAAGACTGGTGACTATCAATTGTATGTCGTAAATGAAAAATTCAAAACTAGTTGAGCCTCTCAATCATCATACTGGGAAAATTGTTAGCCAAAGGTACTTAGAATGTATATAAAAGGTATCATTACATTTGCCTTATGAATGTTGCTGTATTGTTTTATCTTTGTTCATCTCATTCTTCCTTTTTGGTACTGTTAAGAACACCATGTATCACTTTTTCGACGAGAGGAGGCTTGATCTTTGACCTTCACTTGGGAAAATATTGTTGGGACAAAATATCAAAGGCGTCATGTGGAAGTTAATAATTGCAAATCATGATCGAGATAAATCAGATGATACAAAGAAACTATAAGAAGACTTTGTGTTTATAGTAAAGAAGGCTGAGAACTTGAGAATGCTTGTACACAAATTTATCTTATTTTTGTGAGATAAGATATTATTTTACTAAATCCTCAATATAACGATGTATTACTAAAACACTCTAGGACAAAATGAGATGATAATGGTAATTAAACAAAGCATGTGGTCACTAATGATGTGTCATATAAAGCAAAATAGAACTTTGGTATTCTATAGCTTTTGTCTAACTTAATACATACTCCATTACGTCATCATACATTTGCCACACATCATTATTTATTTATTTAGCACCAACTAAATTTGCCATCAAATTTGACCAAACTCAATAAACAGAGAAATATAATTATGATTTCAAGTTTGCTAAGAAATTAATTCTTTTTTACTAAAAATACGAATTTCAAAACACCCTAGTAAAACTTTCAAAGTCAAGTCTACTCATTCTTCAAAATTAGTCGAAAGATGATTAAATAACATCTCAAAATAAAATTTTATATGCGAAACAAAATACTCTTCATTCTTAATCAGAAATTATAGGTTCGAGCCCCTCAAAATACAGAGTCATATCTGTTATGAAGCATTTTATGGTCGATGTGAGACTTTCTGGCACAAATTCAAATTTAATCAGATTCTCATGCACATTAAATGGTAAATCAACTTGAAAATTTTTGAAGACAAATTTTCAAAATCTGATCAAAATTTTACGACCAAACAAATATTTAGAGATAATTTTTTTAATTTTGATCCACAATCTACCATCAAATACTAGTAATACCCATTTTGGCAAAAGATTAATATTTCCAATCCTTGGTCCAAAAAGAGAAAAAAATAATACTAGAAATTATGTCACCAACCAAGAGAAAAAGAACAAAAACAACATAACATTTTCCCACTTATTACTCTCTATGAATGTATAGAGACAAGATCATGACTAAAGTGCCAATTTTCAAGATTCATAGTATCAACAATAATTAGCAATAAAATAGACTAACAGGTACTACTTTGCAATTTTTATTTGATCATTTTTCATCTATATATAAGTATGAATTTTCCTTTTATAAACAGAACAATCCAACTACAAACACTGAGGCACACTTGTGTATTCCAACAGCTTTCTTTCAAGGTAAATTAACTTCATTTCAGTTCTTATCATTTTTCCAGCTACCCCCATATGGGGTACATGTGTTTATATGCACTTTAATATGTGTTGATTGGAGTTATGGGGGAAGTGGGTGTTTCTGCTTTTCTTCTCTGTGTTTGAAGGTTTTATGATTTTGAAACTTTTTATGGATAGATGGCTAATTTATGATCTTAAAGAAATTCTTGAGTTTGTGGTTTACTAGTCTTAGATAGGTTTGTATGGTGATCAAGAAAAAGGAAAAAAGAATGGATTTTTATGTTTTTTTGTATAACTTGTGATTGTGGTACTTTAAAAATAAAAATGTATGTAGGGGAAGGGGAAATGGGGAGTCGAACCCTCGAGGAGGAAGTTCAGGTAGTCAATCAACTGAGCTACTAAGATTCCCCGTGTGATTTTGGTTCAGAGGTTTAGCCGATTGTTTATTTTGTTAAGAGTCTGAAAGCGTTTACTGTTTTTGAGTTTCTTGAGGTTGATATCTCAAAGGGTCACTCAATTACTAATTGTTATAGTAGGAGTAATTATTATCTCAGAAAGTTGTCTTTCTTCTTAATTTCAATTTTTTCAACAATGAAAGTGATTTTCTTAGATAATAACTATTAGTTGAGTGACCATATGAGAAAATCAGCTCGAATTTCTTGGTGCCCTTTTTCAGCAAATTGAGCAGGGTCTCACAAAGATAAAAGGATAAGTAAAGGGAATTGGTATTCTGAATTTATGGTGTTTTTCCAGATTATAAGTTTATGTGATGAACTATGAATTGTGTCTGAGCAAGAATGAGAAAGAATTTTGCTAAACAGAAAAGATAAATACAAAAAGCAACTCTGTAATTAATATGACGAAACTGCGATTGTATTGTCTATTTTCTACCCAGTAGGTATATTTCACTGTACTAACAGGAACATGGAGCATATGTTAGTGTTATTCAATTGGATATATTGACTGCATCATTTACATTTTCTTCTAAATATCTTAGTGAACGTAGCGCGTGTTTTGTTGAAAAAATGACATCTTCTTAAGATGTAGTAACATGTTCAATTATGATTCTAGTAAAAGAGGATGAGTGATTATACTAACTCTCTGAACTCACTGGTCACTTCCAGCACAGTAGACAAATGGCTCGTTCCGCTCTGGATGAGATGTCAGCAACAGGTGCTTTTGAGAGAACTGCTTCAACCTTCCGTAATATAGTCTCAAGGGAACCCGGCTCCGTTTTTCCAGTGGAATCTGGGAGGTACCACCTCTACATATCATATGCTTGCCCATGGGCATCAAGGTGCCTGGCTTACTTGAAGATTAAAGGCCTTGACCAAGCCATTGATTTCACAGTAAGCAGTTGAATAAACTTGTATCTTTGACTCAAGTTTGGACCCCTAACAATCTATTTCCTTTGCATTTGGCTTGCAGTCTGTTAAACCTATTTGGGAGAGGACAAAGGACAGCGATGAGCACATGGGATGGGTTTTTGCTTCATCTAGCACCGAGGAAGCAGGAGCTGATCTTGATCCTATTAATGGAGCCAAAAGCATAAGGGAGCTGTATGAGCTTGCAAGTACAAACTATTCTGGGAAATACACCGTTCCGGTATTTTTAATCAATAATTAGAATCTTTAGTAAATTTATTTGCTTGGTCTGTACATATTTTTGTTGATTGATGGTCTGGTTTTTCTAATAGGTTCTTTGGGATAAGAAACTGAAGACAGTCGTGAACAACGAGAGTGCAGAAATAATACGCATGTTTAATAGTGAATTTAATGATATAGCTGAGAATGCAGCTTTGGATCTTTACCCTCCTCATTTGCAATCCCAAATAAATGAAACAAATGACTGGATATATGATGGAATAAACAACGGAGTGTATCGATGTGGTTTTGCAAAGATGCAAGAGCCTTATGATGAGGTAATTTTTATCACCTTAAGAAGTAGACTACAAAACTCAAAGGAGCCGTTTGCGAGATCATCTTAAAACTTATTGTCTTCAATCAGTTCTATCTGAGGAAAAGTGATTACCTTTCTGTCCTTGCAGGCTGTGCAAAAAGTATACAAAGCTTTGGACAAATGTGAGGAGATACTGAGCAAGCAGAGATACATATGTGGAGATCAAGTGACTGAAGCAGATATTCGCTTGTTTGTCACCCTGATTAGGTTTGATGAGGTAAGTGAACGTTACCTTATGGGCCCTATACCTGCCAAAAGTAAATTATTGTCTTAGAAATATTACCAAAGGAGATACTCAAGGGTGTGGTCAATAAAGTGGGTTGAAAATCACGAGGTCTTAGGTTTAAATCCCCGAGGGGCCAAAAATGCTTGTTGATTTCTTCCTATTTGTCTGGGCTTTGGTGGATGAAGTAACTCAATACCTATGGTGGGAGGTAGCAGGTACCCTATGGAATTAAAAAACAGGAAATATTACCAATAGGGAAAATTCTGAGGGGATATTTCGGGAGGAGATTGCTTTTATGCATATTGTTTTTGTATTGTCTTACCAATATCATTGCTTTTATGCAAATAGTATTCCCCTTGCATTAGTCTGAAAATGGACCTCCATTTCGTAAGAATTGTATTTTTCATTCACTGAGAGAGAGTACCCAAGATTTACAAAGATGACTCTATTACAACTTCAAATTACCTTGCTAGTAGGAGGGTTACTCGAACATTAAGAAAAGAATTTGTAGCTATAATGAAATTATTAATCTTCAATGGAACAATTCTTTCCACCAAAAAGGGAAACACAGAATAAAAGATTTTAAATATTTGGGGATTAGGAATTAGTCCTCTGAATTATGCTCATGGACATAGAATGCTAAAGCTTCGGATTCCTCCTCTCCACTGCAACTTCCAAATTCGATGGTGTGGAAGTCACTGAGCAGATCTCATCAGCAGATACCCTCCCAAAAATCTTAACTGCTCAGAAGTCCATTATATGATCAAAACCACTGGATCTCCTCACATCGCAACTTTTAAATGGAAAATTAAAATTAAAAGCTTAGTGTTAAGACTAAAACTTTTAAACCCTAAGGTTAGGTTGTCGGATTATTTCATCATTCATATGGAGATAACCATGGATTTCTCATAAACCTTAGTTTACACCAGGGACATGTGTTGAGCCCATACTTTTTTATCCAAATTATGGAAGAGCTAACCAATAATATAAAAATTGAAGTTCAATGGTTATGCTATTTAAAGATGATAGTTTTAAATTGTCAATACTAGCAATTTGGTCGATTAGAAGGTGGAACTAAGTAGTAAGGAGAATTAATATCGAGAAGAATGTATTTGGAAAAGTAGCAGTAAGCTAGAACATATACACTGGAAGTATAGGCCTCATAATAATGATGAAAGTGAAGTGAAATTAGACGGAATTGTAGTGTCTACATATATGCTGAAAACTCAGAAATCTAGGCTCGGTCTTTCAAAAGAGTGGCATGCTACAGGGAGATTGAAATAGAAGATTGAATTTAGAGTGTTGTATGATCAGAAAATATCTAACAAAGTGAAAGACAAGTTTTATAAAATGGTGCTGAGACAATGAGACTAGCTTTGATTTTATGTTTTAGTTATTTGCTGATAAGTTATATTGGAATGAATGTTAGACCCTCAAGAACTAACATATCCACAAGAGTGCCAATGGTTATAGGTTGTTAATACTGGATAAGAATAGAAATGACCGACAGAGGGTG